TGGAAATGGAGAGTTGGGGGCTGTAAGCAAAAATCGTCAAATCGGGAAATCGAACCAAAATCGCATTTTAAAAATCGTCGATTTTGTGCCACGTGGACCCTTCTACAAAATGCTTTTGAACCAAAAATGGTTTGGTTTAGATTTGAGAATTGTAATTGCGATTTAAAATTAAACCGGACTGGCAAAAAAATATATAAAAATTAAAAATAAAAAAAATTATTTTTTAAAATTCAATCAAATATATAAAATTCTATAGTTTTGACACTTTGTCATTTGTGGGTATTTTTGTCAATTTTTAATTTTCTATTACATATATTATTATTACCCAATAATCCTAATTAGTTATTATTATTATTTTTGTCAAGTTTTAATTTTTGTCTTGAGCCTTGGGCCTCAAAAGCCATATGAGCTCCAAAATAGAAAAGATGAAGCATTTGGGCTTGAACTATATTACTCACACCCCTTGAATAACACGAAATAGAAAAGGTTTTTTTTTCTTTTTTTTTTTTTTAGACTTTTTTTTTGACTTTTTTTTTAATAATAATAATACAAAATCAAAATAACAAAATAATAAATGAGCCCATTTCACAAATTTGGACCTAAATCACACTCAAAACCTTAAACAAGCCCAAGCCCAAGCAATACAAATAAATCCAACCCAATTGAAATTAAGCCCAAACCTAACTGTTAGCCAACAAACCAACCCACTTAATTATTAAACCAATTAACTAAGAATCCAATTAACCCAACCCAACAATAAAATAAAACCCGATACAACCATCACTCAAACCCGTAAACAACCTCTGCAGCCCTCGACGACGCAGGCGACTCCCACTGATGATAAACCCAAACTGCAGCCACTCAATCCAGTCGACGGCGCCTCAGTGACCGGTCTTTCCCCTAGTAAACCGGCGCGACGCCCCCATCTCCTTGAAACGCTCCTCGTCGGCCAGCTGCTTCTACAGTTTCCAATGGTTTGGTTGCTGTCTATTCTTTCGCCTTCTACTAAAGATTACCGTGTGTTCGTTGCAATTAGTGGCATAAACTAATTTTTGGAGAGGCTCAATTCATCTGGTTGGTGTCTGTAAAGTTGGTTTGGAGGCGATGGGGCAGTCTTCGGGAACGAAACTGCAGACTGGAGGGAGCTTAAGGCAGTAAGGCAGTCGGAAAATTTTGGACTTTGGCAGTAAGGCAGTCGAAAATTTTTCTGTTGGCAGCGTGTTAGTTTGTTGGCAATGGAAGGTTGTAACCTCGACAGTTGGTGGTAGTCTCTGTGATGACGGTTTTGGATTTCACAGTGGGTCGAAGGAAAAAAAATTTTTGTTTGTTGCAGTGAAAACTCCCAAGTTTTGCTCTGATACCAATTTGATGCAGGGAGATTAATAAATCTGTGAATAACAAGAAGGGATGGGGGAGGGAAGAGAAGAAGAATACAGAGGAGGGGAAGAGGGGAAAAACGGCTGCAAGCCAAATCTTTAATTAATCAAATTCATCATGCCCAAATAACAATGTAAGATAGGTTTAAATACTGGAAAATAATGCAAACCTAGGGCCAAGCCCAATACAAAAGTCCATAAAATTAAAATAACCTAAATTCCAACTAAAATAATTAAAATTGCTAAAATTAATTAAAATTGGATGTCCTCATCACTAAGTCTTATTGGATCGAAGACCCCTTAAGTGATGCATGCATTCTCTTCTAAGTGCTCTTGGATTAAAGGAATGTCAAGAGGGCATTTGTATATGGCCTTCTTTCACGTGTCTGTCTGTCAACTTTAGTGTCACTTCATGGTACAAGAAAGAATTGTGCTAGACCATCATGTTTCAGCGAGGGGACTTGAAGTTAACAAGGCAAAAATTGATACAATTGCAAAGCTACCACCACCCACCAATGTCAAAGGCATTCGAAGTTTCTTAGAGCATGCTGAATTATATAGGAGGTTCATCAAAGACTTTTCAAAAGTAGCTAAACCCCTATGCAATCTTTTAGAGAAGGACACAATATTTGCATTTGATGACGACTGCTTAAGGGCATTTGAAACCATAAAGGCAAAATTGGTAACTGCTCCAGTGATGGTAGTGCCAAATTGGGATCAATCATTTGAGGTTATGTGTGATGCTGGTGACTACACAGTAGGGGCGATTTTAGGTCGAAGGTGTGATAAAATTTTTCGGGCAATCCACTATGTCAGTAAAACCCTTAATGGAGCTCAACTCAATTACACCACAACAGAGAAGGAAATGCTAGCAGTAGTGTTTGCTTGTGACAAATTCAGATCCTACCTCATTGGTACCAAAGTGATCATTTACACAGACCATGCTGCAATCCGATATCTCTTTGAAAAGAAGGATACCAAGCCACGCCTTCGATGGATATTGCTACTACAGGAATTCGATGTAGAAATTCGAGATGAGAAAGGCAGTGAAAACGTCGTTGCAGACCATCTCACACTGTTAGAGAATGATAAAGTAGTAGATGACAGTCAAATTCGAGAAACTTTCCCTGGCGAGGTCTTGCTAGCTGTATCAACAAGGATCCCATGGTATGCTGATTTTGTCAATTATTTGGTGTATGGAAAATTGCCGCTTGACTTGACCTTCCATCAAAAGAAGAAATTCTTACATGATATCAAGTCATATATGTGGGATGACCTAATATTGTTCAAGCCGTGTGCTGATAAAATAATCAGGCGGTGCGTCCCTGTGGAAGAAACACAATCAATTATGCAATGTTTCCAGGTCACTTCGGTCCTACACGTACTGCTACTAAAGTATTGCAATCTGGTCTTTATTGGCCAAATCTGTTCAAGAACTCTATGCTTTTTGTGAAGACATGTGACCGTTGTCAGCGAACTGGAAACATTTCACGACATCATGAGTTGCCATTAACTAATATGGTGGAGTTATTTGATGTGTGGGGTATAGACTTCATGGGTCCATTTCCACTTTCTTTTAGCCAGGTATACATTCTTCTTGCAATAGACTATGTATCTAAATGGGTTGAAGCCATTGTCACACCAACAAATGATGCAAAGGTGGTTTTGAGGTTTCTACAGAAAAATATCTTCACTCGGTTTGGCACGCTTAGGGCAATTGTAAGTGATGAAGGTACACATTTCTGTAACAAGCTGTTCAACTCCTTTTAGCTAAATATGACGTCAAGCACAAATTGACACTTAATTATCACCCACAATCAAATGGACAAGCAGAAGTATCTAACAGAGAGATTAAACAGATTTTTGGAAAAGACAGTAAATACAGCCGAAAGGACTGGTCTCTCAAACTAGATGATGCTCTTTGGGCATACCGAACCGCCTTCAAAACACCAATTAAAATGTCACCTTACCGGTTGGTATTTGGGAAAGCTTGTCACCCACCGGTGGAATTGGAACATAAAGCTTATTGGGCTGTGAAAAAGTTGAACTTGGACATGAAATCGGCCAGTCCACAACTTGTTGCAGCTTGATGAATTAGAGGAATTTCGGAATAATGCATATGAAAATGCGAAAATATACAAGGAGCGGACAAAAATGTGGCATGACAAGAGAATCATGAGGAGGGAATTGGTGGGAGAACGAGTTCTTCTATTCAACTCTCAATTGAAAATCTTTCCGGGCAAGCATAAATCCCGGTGGTCGAGACCATTTGTAATTCGTAAGGTACTCCCTTATGGTGCTGTGGAGTTAGTGAATAAGGATGGATCTATTTTTCAGGCAAATGGACAACGCCTCTAGCATTACTATGGAGAGGAAAATCGAGATGTGGAAGACATTACCCTTGGAGAACCACATCACGTCCAGCTAAAGACGTAAAAGAAGCGCTTTTTGGAAGGTAACCTAAGTTGTACCCCTAAATTTCCATTCTTTAGTTTGACATTTCATTTTCTTTCGTGGTAACTTTAATAATTTTGCTTTCTTTTCGTTTTTGTAGAAATTTGCTCAAAAAATGGTTTCATTGACACTCTAGTCAACATGGGAAGAGAGTTCGTTGGAGGTACATAATAATTAAAAAAAATAAAAATTTATTGCCTTTTCAGAATAAATGGCGCCGTCGCGCCCATACTGGGCGCTGCAGCACCAACTCCAATAATAAAAAAAAATTAATTAACAGTGAGTCCGCCACCGTGGCGCCCAGTTTCTGCGCCGTGGTGCCCAACCCTTGTTTTAAAAAAAAAAAAACACGGTCCCTCTTTCTCTTTTATCTTCTTCCCCCCCCCCCCCCCCCCCCCCCCCCCCCCCCAAACCCTTTTATTCTTTTCCTCTCTCAAGTCTCTGCGCTAGGCGCCCAACCCTTGTTTTTAAAAAAAAAAATAAACACGGTTCCTCTTTCTCTTTTATCGCCCTACCCCCCAAACCCTTTTATTCTTTTCCTCTCTCAAGTCTCTCCCTTTCCCTCCCCACACTTGCACACACCTAATTCTCTCATATTATCCCACCTTTACACACATTCATATCTTTCACAAGTCATATCCGCTACTTTTATTAGAATTGAAGGGTTATTGACTATTTCTTCAAAGAAGGTTTGTTCTTTCAAAATGCAATTTTACATCCTTTGATTTAATTTGAACTTCTATTAGTAATCTTGTTTGGGGCTACATCACATTTTCATTTTTCTTTGTTGGATTGTGCTTTGGTAAAGATTGTGTGGGTTTTTGTTTTTATCTTCAAAATTGTTTTGTTGTATGCCTACAATGTGTTTGTTTTTTTTGCCTCTTTGAAGCTCTTTGCCAATTTTGGAATTTATGTACAAGACTTTGCAAATTTCTATGAGCTTAGATTTTCCTGATTATTGATTTATTGTCTTGCTCACAAAGTGCTTGATAAATTTCCCCAAAGATTTTTTTTTGTGCTATTCTTGGGATATTTTTGATGGTTTGTATTAGGCTTTGTACTTGATTATTCTAGCCGCCTACCACATGTTCGAATATTGTTTCATTAAGATTTTCGTGCCAACTTTAGACATACTTCATTTACTAAGACAAATTCATTGAATTGGTTTAGGTGGCCGGTTAACTTTTCATGATATTGGGAAGAACACTTACACCATGCCTCCTAAAAAGAAATTCAAGGCCACTGCCTCTTCATCTACTACAGTGTTTGATCGAAGACGATTCATTAGTCCCGAAGCAAAGGAACGCTATAAACAAAATGTGATACATCGAAATTGCATTCCTGAGAGGGGCCTTGAAAATTTTTTGCCAGATAAAATACACAGTTTAGGATGGGAGAAGTTTACCGAACAACCTACAGCTGTATCCATTCCTTTGGTGAAAGAATTTTATGTCAATGCCAATGAACACGAGAACTTCAAAGTTTTTGTCTGGGCTTTTTGGATCAAGTTTGGCAGTTTTTCAATTAACAGGTTCTACCACACGCAGGATATACCCAATGATGACTATTCCCGACTACGCGATGAGGGGGTCGATCTTGATGAGATAATTCGCACTATAGCTCGCCTTGGTGCTGAATGGAAAAGATCAGCTAGTGATGTAACTCACTTCCCTTCCTTTGGTCTGATACCTAACTGTAAAATTTGGCACCACTTCACATCATCCAAATTGATCCCCAGTAGCAACACCAGCGAGGTCACCAAGGAACGGGCCTTATTGAATTTTGTTATTCAGAAGGGGTATTCTATTGATGTTGGCAGAGTCATTCAATGCTGCTAGCCGGGCCAGCTACAAACAGTTTGGGTCACCCCTCTTTGATCCATGACCTTTGCATACACAGGGTTCACGTGCGAGAAACTGATGAAGTGTTACACCCGAAACAATTACTTACACGGGAACTCTGTGATAGGCATGTGGGACATCGGGACGTCCCTGGCTCTTCTCAGTCATCTCGTCCATTACCTCCTACACCACCGCCTCCACAACCTTCTGATGCTACGGGGAACATCTTTCGACGTCTTTAAGCCATGGATTTGTGCATGACCCGATGGCAGGATGGCAATCATGGCATCTGCCATCTTTGACCAGTTTCATTATCAAAACGCTTGCATGGCGATCATGGCATCTGCATACCCCGAGCTTACCTTCCCTCCACCTCATTCACACCCTCCCGCTCCACCTGATGGCGATGAAGACAATTGATGTTTTCCCCAAGGTATTACTCTTCCCTTTCTTTCAATTTCACATTGAGGGTAATGTGTTGTTTAAGTTTGGGAGGGTCTTACTTTCACTTAGTTGTTAGTTGTGTTGAGCATTTTCCTACTTTTATTGTGTTGCGTTCCAAGTATGTTGCGCGTGTTAATTTACTTTGTGTGAAAAAAATAAAAATAAATAAATAATTTTGCATTATTTTATTTCGCATGCTTGTGTGAATTGGATAACATTGTTGGCAATGATGAATATATTTGGAATGTGGATCAGTTGTGGATTATGGATGAGTCAGTTGCTTGAATTAAAGTGTTACTTACCCTTGCAGATTATTGTAACATTTATGCACGTGAATTGAATATAGCGGCGAACAAAAATGAGTTGATTCATAATTAGATTTAGGTTGAAGTAATGACCTTAGAAATTGAATCCAAACAGCCACTTGTATAATAGTATTCACATCCTTTAACCTACCTTAGGATAGTTTGGAGGGGTAAACTGTTGTAGGAAAGCATGGACATGAGGGTGGATTTCGTGTGTGCTTCAGAGGTAAGGTTTTCCTTCTTCTGCTTCTTTTCCCCTTTGTACTTGCTTTTTCATGTTCTATGGTTCCAGAATGACAACTTCACTCTGGAGCTGGCGTGAAGCGAAGCTATTAATGGTAGGGCCGGCCCTGACTATTTAGAGGCTCTAGGTGTTTAATTGTTATGGGATCTCTCAACACAAAATTTATTTTACAAGTCTAAAAAAATGTAAATATTTAAATAATTAACACTTTTATATTAGAAAGAAAACTTCATACAATTCGAAAAATAGAATAACAAAATAAAACTTCTTTCACAACCTGAAAGATTAGGCTAGCATAAGACTTAACCTTCTCACATTTTGAGATGTAAAATTAGTAATCAAACTACTAACATCAAGTTTGTCCAACATATTTTTTTCAATAGAAATCATAGCTAATCCATTCAATCGCTCTTGTGACATAGATGATCGAAAATAAGACTTAATCAACTTCAACTTTGAAAAACTTCTTTCGGCAGAGGCAACTGTGACAGGAATAGTCAATAATACTTTATAAGCAATCCAAGCACTTGCATAACAACAGTTCATTTTCTTAATGTAATCCAATACATCAATTGCTCCAAAAATGTTTGTAGATATCGCTTCCCTTAAAACTTTCAACTCAAAAAATAATTTTATTCTATCAATATCAGAAATCGTATTATGCTTCAAGTAATTTTCAAGTTTAATGCAAGAACACTTCAAAACATCATCATCAATAGATTTAAGTCTTTTCAAATCAAACAAAAATCCAAAAATATCATCATATTTCTGAAATTGCTCAAATCTATTCTGAAGTGATGATAGCTTGGTTCTCTATATATATGAAATAATTTATCTTACAAGATTTTTCAGCTATTTGTGTTATCTCTTTAGAAGAAGTCTCATCAAACTGTTTTTTTCTATGTATAACCCATTTTTCACGAAATATCGATTTAATTTCTAATTCACTTGCAATCTCTTCAACATCAACCATGGCCGATTCAAAACCAGATTCTCTATAACTTTTAAAAAATGAAATGATGCCTTTTAAATGGTCTATAGCAACATCAATATGCATGTCTTCTGCTTGCAATTGTTTACTTACTCTGTTAACATTATTCAACACTTCATACCAAATAATCATTCCAAGTAAAAATTCAAAATTGTCAATTTCATATATTGCCAAACACTCCGCCTTACTTTTTATCTTAGGATCATCAACATTTGCTAGTTACATTCTCATTGAAAACTTTCCATCGTTTAGTAGATGAAGAAACGTTGCACCACCCCAAAGAAAGATTTAGACTATGACAAAGTGCAAAATTAAGACTATGATATCCACAAAGAATGTCGAATTTACTAGAATTTAGTTGTAATAGTCTACTTTGAACTCTTTTATGTTATCCTTTCATGTTAGCACCATTATCATAGCCTTGACCTCTTACATTATCAATATCAAGTTCTAGATTATTCAAAGCATCCACCAATTCCTCAAAAAGTCCCTTACCTGACGTATCATCCACTAATAAAAATCCTAAACTTCAACCTTCACTGGACTTGTCGAAATATCTACACACCTCAATATCATTGACATTATCTGGAGTGCAATCAAGTATAACAGAAAAGTATTTAGAAATTTTGAGTTTCTCAATGATTATTATTTTTTATCTCGTCCGCTAACATAAGTATCAACTCATTCTGAATTTTGTGTCCCGATGAATCTCTTTATTTTTTATTCGACGAACATGCTCTTGCATTATTCAAGACGTCTAAGGATGTCTCCCGTAGCATCAGAAGGTTGTGGAGGCAGTAGTGTAGGGGGTAATGGATGAGATGACTGAGAAGAGCTAGGCATGTCCCGATGTCCCACATGCCTATCATGGAGTTCCCATGTAAGTGGTTGTTTCGGGTGTAACACTTCATCGGTTTCTCGCACGAGAACACCCCCGTGTATGCAAAAGTCATGGATCAAAGAGGGGTGACCCAAACTACCTGTAGCTGGCCCGGCTAGGATGCGAAGAATGCTATTTTGAATGACTCTGCCAACATCAATAGAATACCTCTTCTGAATAACAAAATTCAATAAGGCCCGTTCCTTGGTGACCTTGCTGGTGTTGCTACTGGGGGATCAGTTTGGATGATATGAAGTGGTGCCAAATTTTACAGTTAGGTATCAGACTAGAGGAAGGGAAGTGAGTTACATCACTAGCTGATCTTTTCCATTCAATACCGATTATCTCATCAGGATCGACCCCCTCATCGCGTAGTCAGAAATAGTCATCATTGGGTATATCTCGCATGTGGGAAAACTTGTTAATTGAAGCACTATCAAATTTGATCCAAAAACCCCGAACAAAAACTTTGAAGTTCTCGTTGTTATTGGCATTGGCATAAAATTCTTTCACCAAAGGGATGAATACAGGTGTAGGTTGCTTAGTAAACTTCTCCCATCCCAAACTGTGTATTTTATACATTGGATTTCTTTTTAGGAAGCATGGTGTAAGTGTTCTTCCCAATATCACGTGAAGTTAACCGGCCACCTAAACCAATTCAATGAATTGTCTTAGTAAATGAAGTATGTCCAAAGTAGGCACGAAAATCTTAATGAAATAATATTCGAACATATGGTAGGCGGCTAGAATAATCAAGTACAAAGCCTAATACAAAACATAAAAAAATCCCAAGAATAGCGCAAAAAAGTCTTTGGGGAAATTTACCAAACACTTTGTGGGCAAGACAATGAATTAATAATCAGGAAAATCCAAGCCCATAAAAATTTGCAAAGTCTTCTAACATAAATCTCAAAATTGGCAAAGAGCTTCAAAGAGGCAGAAGAAGAACAAACACATTGTAGGCATACAACAAAACAATTTCGAATCTTTACCAAAGTATAATCCAACAAAGAAAAATGAGAATGTGACGTAATCCCAAACAAGATTACTACTAGAAGTTCAAATTAAGCTAAAAGATGTAAAATTGCATTTTAAAAGAACATACATTCTTTGAAGAACTAGTCAATAACCCTTCAAGTCTAATGAAAGTAGTGGATATGGCTTGTGATAGATGTGAATGTGTGTAAAGGTGGGGTAGTATGAGAGAATTAGGTGTGTGCAAGTGTGGGGAGGGAGAGGGAGAGACTTGAGAGAGGAAAAGAATAAAAGGGTTTGGGGGTATGCAGATAAAAGAGAAAGAGGGACCGTGTTTTCTATTTTTTTTAAAATAAGGGTTGGGCACAGCGATGCAGGACTTGCTATTAATTTTTTTTTTTTTATTAGAGTTGGCGCTGCAACGCCGCAGCGCCCATGCATATTATGTACCTCCAACGTGCTCCCTCCCCATGTTGACTAAAAGTGTCGATGCAACCATTATTGGAGCAAATTTCTACAAAAACGAAAAGAAAGCGAAATTATTAAAGTTACCACGAAAGAAATGTCAAACTAAAGAACGGAAATTTAGGGATACAACTTGGGTTGCTTCCCAAGAAGCGCTTCTTTTACGTCTTTAGCTGGACGTGATGTGGTTTTAATGTGGTTCTCCAAGAGTAATGTCTTCCACATCTCGGTTTTCCTCTCCATAGTAATGCTTGAGGCGTTGTCCATTTGCTTGATTTAAGCTTGCCCAAAAAGATTTTCAATCGAGAGTTGAATAGAAGAACTTGTTCTCCCGCCTTAAATTCCCTCATGATTCTCATCATGCCACATTTTTATCCGCTCCTTGTATATTTTCGCATTTTCATATGCATCATTCCGAAATTTCTCTAATTCATCAAGTTGCAATAAGCGTTGTGGTTCGGCCTATTTCATATCCAAGTTCAACTTTTTCACAGCCCAATAAGCTTTATGTTCCAATTCCACCGGTAGGTGACAAGCTTTCCCAAATACCAACCGGTAAGGTGACATTCCAATTGGTGTTTTGAAGGCAGTTCGGTATGCCCAAAGAGCGTCATCTAGTTTGAGAAACCAGTCCTTTCGAATGGTATTTACTGTCTTTTTCAAAATCTGTTTAATCTCTCTGTTAGATACTTCTGCTTGCCCATTTGATTGTGGGTGATAACTAAGTGTCAATTTGTGCTTGATGTCATATTTAGCTAAAAGGGAGTTGAACAACTTGTTACAAAAATGTGTATGGCAATGGCATAGTCTATTGCAGGGAGAATGTATACCTGACCAAAAGAAGGTGAAAACGGACCTATGAAGTCTATACCCCATACATCAAATAACTCCACCTCAAGCATATTAGTTAATGACAGTTCATGATGCCGTGAAATGTTTCCAGTTCACCGACAACGGTCACATGTCTTCACAAAAAGCATAGCAGTCCTTGAACAAATTTGGCCAATAAAAATCAAATTGCAATACTTTAGCAGCAGTGCGTGTAGGACCGAAGTGACCTCCATAAGGGGATGAATGGCAACGCTACATAATTGATTGTGTTTCTTCCATAGGGACACACTGCCTGCTTATTCTGTCAGCACACGACTTGAACACTATTGGGTCATCCCACAGATATGACTTGACATCATGTAAGAATTTCTTCTTTTGATGGAAGGTCAAGTCAAGCGGCAATTTTCCATACACCAAATAATTGACAAAATCAGCATACAATGGGATCCTTGTTGATACAGCTAGCAAGACCTCGCCATGGAAAGTTTCTCGAATTTGACTGTCATCTACCACTTTCTCATTGTCTAACCGTGAGAGATGGTCTGCAACGACATTTTCATTGCCTTTCTCATCTCGAATTTCTACATCGAATTCCTGTAGTAGAAATATCCATCGAATTAGGCGTGGCTTGGTATCCTTCTTTTCAAAGAGATATCTGATTGCAGCATGGGCGGTGTAAATGATCACTTTGGTACCAATGAGGTAGGATCTGAATTTGTCACATGTAAACACTACTGCTAGCATTTCCTTCTCTGTTGTGGTATAATTGAGTTGAGCTCCATTAAGGGTTTTACTGGCATAGTGGATTGCCCGAAAATTTTTATCACGCCTTTAACCTAAAATCGCTCCTACTGCGTAGTCACTAGCATCACTCATAACCTCAAATGGTTGGTCCCAATTTGGCACTACCATCACTGGAGCAGTTACCAATTTTGCCTTTATGGTTTCAAATGTCCTTAGATAGTCGTCATCAAATGCAAATGTTGTGTCATTCTCCAAAAGGTTGCATAGGGGTTTAGCTACTTATGAAAAATCTTTGATGAACCTCCTATAGAATCCAGCATGCCCTAAGAAACTTCGAATGCCTTTGACATTGGTGGGTGATAGTAGCTTTGCAATTGTATCAATTTTTGCTCTGTTAACTTCAAGTCCCCTCGCTGAAACATGGTGGCCTAACACAATTCCTTCTTGTACCATGAAGTGACACTTTTCCCAGTTAAGAACCAAGTTCTTTTCCTCACAGCGTTGTAACACCAAGGAGAGATTGTGAAGGCAGTTGTCAAAAGAAGTACCAAACACCGAAAAGTCATCCATAAATACCTCCATAATGTCCTCAACCATGTCCGCAAAGATCGTCATCATGCATCTTTTAAAGGTGGCCAGTGCATTGCACAACCCTATAGTCAATGCACACCCTCCAACCAGTTACTGTTCTAGTTGGAATTCGCTCATTGTTGTCGTTCTTAACTACTATCAGACACCTGCAAGAGCAATACAAGAGACTATTAAATATTAAATGAACTTCAATCAGGAAGAGATTGAAAAAGTTGCATCCAACGCACCATTTCCTGCCCACAAACCCTCAAAATTTCACCAAAGCAAGTGTCTGTAGCTTTACGAACATCCGCTGATTTATCCTAAATGTACATTGAAGCAGTAAAAAGTGATGAAGCCGAAGCAAAGGATGAACAGTGAAGAAACCCGTGTTGTATATTTACAGATGATGAGAAAAATACCGCCATAGCAAAGGCAGAAGGTTTTAGAAGATATATAGCATCAGAAAAAACTGCCAATCCGGCAAGTTGTCTTGATAACCAATCAAGAAGATCCCGGCGCCCTTCCGCACCTAGCTTAGCATCCGTTAGTGCAGCTGTGATGCAAGGGACCTAAAGAAGAGAAGTTATAGTTATACCATCAAAACAAAAATAAAAGGCAAGCGATAGACATGAGAATGAACTGGTATTGACCCTTTTATCTAGAAAAACATCGGCAAGCCAAGAGTCTAAAGTGGTCAAAGTGCACTCTCTCATGTGCTTTTTATTGTCACCAAGGCATTTCAAGATATCTGACAGAATACCCTGCAAGAAACCACATAGAAATAGAATGAGAAAATCTAGCTCAATCTAAGGAGTGATGATAAGATAGAGAAATTATATTGCATTGTCAAAAATGAACCTTGCTTGACTTCTCAACTGCTGGACCCATTGCAGATGCAAGACCGCCGATAGTAGATAAAGTTGCCATAATTAGATTCTTGTTGCTGTCGTGTAGGCGGTTTCTTAGAGCCCCAAACAACTCCACTGGGAGTAATAGCCAAAAATAAATCAAGATACAAATATAGCTAAAAATCATGAAAATGACTACCAGTCTCAGGAATCATAATATAGTAGTTCCAGTTGGTTGAATACGCTTGTTGGCCTCTTCCATAATTTTATTCACTGTTTCAATGGATTCCAATCGAATCTAGAATGAAAAGAGCAAAGTCAAGAGTGACTAATATGAGTTTCAACAGATTAGACTCGTTCTCATAAACACATACCTTCCAATCCGAAAACTCAAGGCCCTTCAACAAGGTAGGTGTGACCTTTTCACAAATATCTTCACGTGGAAGACCATCTAGCCCACCAGCAGCCAAAGATGATGCAGAATCCGATAATTTCACAGTCTTCTTTGGAACTGCAGATGTACCCTGCAGGTGCTAATCCACAAAAGTTAAACATCAAAGCAATAAATTTCATTAAGATGGATATTTTAAATATAAATGAGATACCTCAAATGTATTTTTTTCATACTCTGCATCAAGTGCACTTAAAAGAGCAGGTTTAACATCTGTGAGGAATGCCTTAATATCTGAAAAGACAAGTGTTTAGACCATATAACGTCTGTGTCATACAAGCAGACTTAGTAAAGTGGATATGTCACCTGGACCAATAAATTTGTGCAAAACACCAATAAGTTTAATAGTAGAATTTCTAGTGGCAGCAGCACTGGATTGTAAACCAATATCCTTACAGAAGTCAATTAAATCCTGTAACAAACAAAGGTACATCATCCCTAAGATTATGTAACAATATCTTACCTACAATCATGTAAATCCGTAGTAGGGAAAATTTAGCTGGTACACCAGAAAAATAATGCTGCACAAAGAAGCTTAAGTACCTTCAGTTTCAGATATGAAACCCCAAAATCTTCAACTGCAGAAACCATCCACAGAATGCCTTCACTGAGAACCTTAGGATTCTTGTGCTCTTTCATGATTTTATACAGCTGTGAGTGAGAGAGAGAGAGAGATCAGTTAAGTGTGTGTCAATAAGAAAGGAAGACTGTTATGATAAAATGAACAAAGGAATAACGCCCCTTGCCACTATTGAAGGAAAATACACCTATAAATATCCACTGTAATCATTCATGTTAAATGTCACTTCCTATTATGAAAATGCTATGAAAAGTAATTTTTTTTTGGCAAAATTCACCTACCTCTGTGCAAGACATACCTCTTCCTAAAGATTGGACTGTAGCTTTCACAAGTAATAAATATGTTAAACAGATCCCCTGGGTATAAAGTATAACAAAACAATAATAGCCAACTATGATGCTCGGACTCGGGGATGGGTATCGGGTACAGATACGTATCTAAGTGTCGAACTTTTTATTTTCTAAAATGTAGGATGCGAGGACATGGTTAAAAAGAGTCCAAATTTCGGACTCAGGTACGTGGGTACTTTTTCAAACTTCAAAAGAACTAAAAATAAAGTAAATTTTTGTATACTATTTGAATGTGTTCAGAAATTATTTTTTAAAAAGTTGAGCTCTTTTTAATTTAATTGGCGAGAATTGAAAAAGAGGTAGCTGCTAGTTTTAAGGAATAAATTGGAGAAGACTGCATCTTTTTTCTTAACCCAGCTAGATGGGGCTATTGGAAAAATGGGCCAAGAAATAGGAAGCCCAAGAAACTCTTAAAATTGTCGTTGTGCCATTTATGTTTTTAACTCTTCGTTACCCTACATCTATTCCACCGCCGTCTCATTTTTACAATCGCCTCGCGTCCTATCTCCGCCCTCTAACGACAACTTTTTTAATTCGTTCTCACTTCCCAGCCCCAAATTCTTCTGCCGCTGTTGATGACGATGAACCATGGCCATGAATTTCGTTGGATGTTTTCTTCATTCGTGCTGCAGCTTTCTTCACCACGCCGTGTCTGGTTGCAAAGTGACGTGTCCGCCCCATATCTCATACCCGTACCCGTGTTGTGTCGTGTTGACACGGGTACGCCAGCATGATTGAAGAGTCCGAGCATCACAAATAGCCAAAGTATGATAGATTAGAAACACTTCAAATTACCTGTACTTGTAACAGTGGATTGACCCCCTCCAGAACTCCCAATCATTTCCGATAACTTCTTTTTCCTGACATCATCAAGTTTCTCCAGCGACTTCTCCAAAGGTCTCATTCCAACCAACTAAAATAAGGGAAAATACAATTGCAAAAAATAAAATATCAGCGCTGCATGAGAACTACAACTTGACGGATTGACAGTGGAAAGGAAAACCCAGTGAGGGTACCTTTGGCTACGGCAGCCAGAGCTAAAAATGCTGCATCCCTTACTTCAGGTGTTCCACCATTGAAGCACTGCAAGACACACAGACTTTCAACATAGAACTTGGCAAGGGGAAGAATAAAGAAAAAATAATTCAAAGATTCAAATTCATGGGTAAAAATAACAAAAGAAAATTTTATAGCACAATTTAGGGGCAGCAAAAAAATCAAGCTTAAGAATGAAGGAAAATGTGCCTTCTGTAACATCACTATCAGGATACAAATCTACATGGCTAATTTTGAAAGTTTATACACTACATCTATCTCTCTTGCGCACTAAGAAGTTATTGTAACAGAGAGACATGCTGTTTAAGACACCTGATCTACCACAAAATTTTCCATCAAAAGCAATGCACATTGCAGTAATTAAAGGATGCATGAGTCAAAAAATTCTATAAAGATATCTCCAAACAAAAAGGAAAGGACACAAACAGTAAAAAGCAAGCAGAAATTTCTTCAAAGCATCAGGGAGATTTTAATTCCAAGAAATACTCAGAATCCGCCACAACATATTTCACGTTGATAAAAGAGACATTCCAACTATAATTTGTCAAAAGTAGGATGAGATCAGAAAGAATTAAAGCCAATACACAACAAAGAATTAAAGCCAATACACAACAGGCCGCATACGCGGCGCAAATATTCTGCACGTCTATTCACTAACCTCCATGCAGATTGGAACATATTCCTTGTGAACTTTGAGGATTAGAGCCTTGTTGCTTGTCTCAATACAAAAAGTAACCCAGTTCAAGGTCAATGATCTTACAAGAGGAACTTTATTTTTTATTGCTGTCTTAACGTCCGCGACAAAAGAACTTTTATATTCAGCAAAGATTCCTAGTGTTATGTACAAAAGAAATAAAAAATCAAATACTCGAATATTAGCACCATCTTGACTTTGATGCCAACTTAGACCACAATTTCATTGAAAATGAGATAAAGATGCAACAGATAGCCATTAATTAGAATAACAGTACTTCAATGCATATCATACTAATAGGACGACCAAATTTCATAAAATATCATTACTTTCAAAATTAAACCAACAGCAGTCATAATGCAAGCAAGCATTGCCAAGTAAATTACAGGGTATCATGATAAAATATTAATAAAGTGGCATGAAACAGTTCACCAAAAAGAAAAGAGAAAATAAGTGAAGATTATAAATTTGCGAAATGTCAAAGAGTGACGCCAGAGAAATAGTGAAAATGGCAAAGAAAACCAAAGAGCACTTGCATGAACGTGGTATAAACTAATATCTGAAAACAAAAACCCGCCTTCAACAATGTCAGCAAGATTTAAGCATCCCCGCTTGTGCATCGCCTGAAGAGTTTGAGTAAGCGCCTCCATTAAAGTAGGCTTCTTCTCTTTAAGTTTTTCCTGTATATATATGTGTGTGTATTAGATAGCAAGACATTATTAAATTCACGACATAAGTACATTCATGCAGAAAGCAGTGCCCAGATAAATAGCAGAATTATGGGTTTCACAAAGCTTCAGGCTAGCATATGTAGGTGAGTTTCTAATATTTCTTCCTTTCAGGGCCGTCATCTTTCATCGAAAAGGGTCACAGTAGACGGAAAAGTGTATCCTTCATGATACTTGATTCGTAACAGAATCAAGGGTTGGATCATCAGCCAATGATCAATCGTGAATGTTTGACTCCACCATATTGTTGAGAGGTAGATGAAGCTTTTATACCACCAAAAAAAATCCAGTCCTCTCGTATATTATGCTAACAAATCAAATTGGCAAGATGTAAGTCAGAACCATGATTTTGTACAAATATCAACAAGAGCCATTTATGAAACTTGATCTCATTAAAAAATTTCAAAACCGCACGCATTACATAAACATAATCTACTACCAAATTTTCACTGAAATGTGTTATGTTAATTTACATTCCAGTCAATGTGATATAATGCAGTTAAAATTCTGCTATACCCTTCTTGGAAAAAAAATTTGAAACGGGCGAATATTTGCGAAACAATAAGCAACCCCATATATATCTATTCCTAGAATTATTATATCCGGAGTTTGTGGGATTCTCATAATTAGGTATTTTTCAAAGTAGTGATTGTTGTGTTATTGTAATATATTAAAATACAGCTAATTTTTCATTACAAAGACCGTAATGGTGTAATTCCCCTGCATGATTTTCACATAACTATTGCCGTCTATTGTGCAATCTAATAAGCCCTCTAAAAGGTTTGCGTCAAAATGAGTTTAGCCCAAATCTAGCGCTTCTGGATCTTTTTGAACCTCAAAACCTATTGAGACATTAGAGCGGCAGAGTAAGTGGGCTTCAATTCGGCTCGAGTCCAAGATCTCATTGATATAGTTGCAGGGAAAGTTACAGTTAAAAAAAATGCTCTGTGGATACACCTTTCTAATTTTTCCTAGTCATGGATGACATAATCAATGGATTAAAGGCATAAACTTTAAGTCCCAAAATCAATTGTGCAAGCTGAATATGAGAGTGAGATTGGTGTCTATACTAACCAGCAATACGGGCAATAAGAAGCGAGAATTTCCAGAGAAATGGGTTCTCAAACCACTGGCAAGATTTCCAGTTGCTTGGATTGCTTCAACTGCAACAGCAATGTTCACGTCTGTAATAAGCTGTAAACTCCAAAAAGATATCATAATCACCACATAGATAAAGTTTTTAAATTGACAGCCAAAAACTAAAAACTGTGTTTTTTTGTGAAATGTAGACAAGGGTGAAAGAGCACAAGCTTGCAAAAGATATGCTGACGGTCAAGCTTCCCAGATGTTAATTTGTATTAAGATATTGTGCCTGACTTTGATAATACCATGAAATAGAATGTCCATTGAACTACTTGGAACCTATCAGCAATAGAAGCAGTCCATAAGAAAAACCAAAAAATAAATGTAGCCGAGCAAATTTGGAAATTGGCCTGGTCTCTTGCTGTAACTCGTACTTGGACTATCTTTTTCAGTCTACGGGTTTTTGCAATTTCATTTTCAGACCATATATTAGGATTTTAAAATAATGGTCTACCTTACACAAACTGAACAGTTTATGTGACTTTGGTAGGTTCAAATGTATTACATCTAATGCTAATTTATTTTTGTCACCCTATAAATACATAATAAAGAGAAAATAGATCTATATTTGGCCAAAGAACCAGGAAGCAAGCAGAAAACGTAAAATATGCCCTTGTTTGGTCTCCATTACTTTCAAAATACATTTTTCTATTTCTTATTTTCAACTACATTTTTCAATAAAATAATATTACACCCAAAACGCAAACTTTTCCTTATATTTTAATTACACATTCTCCATCAAATCACTATTCCAAAATGTATTTTGGCAAAAAATCGGACTCAAACAAGTTCTATATCATCTCAATCAAGAAAAAAATCAACAACAGAAAACCACACATTAACTCTAACTAAAAGGAATGTGATAATTAATTCAGCTATAAAATATGAAGCTGAACCTTCTTTAGTGTTCGGCAAATTTCTGTAAAATCTCCAGGAGCAATCCTTTCAGTCGAAGCGAGTTTGGTCAACTCTGAAACTCCTTCTTTTCGCTCGGACCACTTAGAAGCTTTCTGAAATACAAATAAAATAAGTTCAAACAACCATGAGCATCATAATTGTCTGTGATGCAAAACCACAAAACACAACAATGATTTTATACTAGAGATAATATACTAGACAATGATAATTACTGGAGTACATAAAAGACGTGAAAGAGAGCACTCACCACTCCATCCCAAAATCCTAACTTCTCCAAAGGTGTCAATATATCAACTGGATCAACAAGTTCATACTCATCTATCACCTCTGGAACTGGTAGAAAACATGAATGTCAGACCCAAAAAGAATTTCACAGAGCGTGTCATGACTATAGCATTATGATTGTCTAACGAGATTAATACCAGCGGCGAGCTTAAAATGAATGCATCCTAAATCTATTCAACCAATGGAAAGATATATCACAGATTCAATTACTAAGTAAAATCTTGCCGTCTGCAGCAGGTTCTTCAGAAGGGCCAGATCCCACAACATCAGAAACAGCTTCCTGTTCTGGCTCCTTGCCTTGCTCAGATCTAATAAATATCCAAAAGACAAATTACAAAACTCTAGAAGACTAAATTTAAATAAATAAATTTACCCCTCTAAAAGCTAAAGCTTTCTGATTAGATGACAACATTGTACTATCACAAGCAGAGGAAATGAGTTCAATCCGTGCCATCGCCCATTTAAGAAAATTGTGCACATATGCCTTTGATGAGAAAATAATCTGACCACTGCCAGCACAGAGCGAGCATGTTAAAAAACTAAATTTAAATAAATAAGCCAATGTTTGAGCCCCCTTCTTAAAAAACACATTTCCTCCCAAACTCATTTTCAACCATAAACTCTCAATAAAATAATTTCACACGCAAACCCCAAACTTTTCCTTATTTTTTAACCGTACATTCTCCAAAAAAAATCATTATTACAAAATCTAATCTCTCAAAAAATAGGGCTCAAACAAACCCTAAATGTGTCACTCTTAACACCTGAAGCTTTTAAAATTTAAAAAAGTGAATGTATCCCCTCTCAAACATCTAAGTTTTTTTGGATGATATGGTTCTCAATAGATGGGTCATATACAACAAGATAACCTGTTAGTATACACCTAGGGTAGACTTCTATGATCGCACTAGACTCAAGAGTGTCAACTCATAGGACTCAGCCTCCAAGGGCAGAAGGTAAGCCATTTGAGTGAATTCATTTTACTGATCTAAAAGAGATTAAAGGCTCTAAGCTCCACTTTCTCAACTAAACAAAAACTATTCACAAATTCAACTCTGGATATCAAAAATGATGTCAAGGCCCCATTTACAAGTGAAAACTATAATCTTGTGAGACTTGAATTCAACTTCAAACTATCAATCCATAAGAAAAGATTACAAAAGCGATCGAGCTTGTTTGGGGTGAGCAATTGAAAGTTTAACTGAACAAAGTCATGCCAAAATAATAGAAAATCAAGAGTTAAGTCCCACTTATTTAAATAACACCCTCCTTGCAGATACAATAAATGGAACTTCCATTTCATAAGCATCACAAAATGCTAGAGAATTGCCCCCACAGATCACAAAACCATATGAATATTGTCCAAGATGAATATCTGCCCAATTTTTTGATTTAATAAAACACGTGCATAACCTACCAAAGCAACATAAAATAACTATGATGTCGACCTGAGCAAAATGAATGACAAGGAAACATTTCCAATAGAGTTATGCTGTTAAAGATAAAACATATATCGTAAATTGGATCGCAGCCAGGAGAAGAAAAGAAGAAACGCGGAAAGAAAAGCAAATAGTCACCTTATTTTGCGAGTCGGCTTTGCAGTCCCTATGACATTGACAAGCTCAGCTTCCAACTCTTTTTTCTTAAGACAAAAATGGTGAAACAATAAAAGATATAACCAAAATGCACGATAAGTGTGACAGACAAGGATCTAGGCCAATATGTATCAACATACCATAGTATCTCACATCTTTTCAAATAATATAGATTTGACCGGATCCTTTCCGATCCAACGACATAGCTCTAGTGTCAGTCCTTTGGAAGAGGCACGAACGCTCTGATCTTGATGATCAAAAAGTTCAGGAAGCATCTTCAATATCCTTTTTGGTGGCACTATCTTTGACCCAAATTCACTGAATCATTATTGTCCACCCAACGTCAATATTATGCAGGATAACACAGTGACAATAAACCAAAACAAAAAATTAGTAACAGCAATTAGTTCCTAACCTTAAAGCCTGAAACATGACATCTATTGCAGGAACAACAGCCTTCGAAACTTTATTTTTTATTGCTTTCTCCATAGCATCCTACTCAGGAAAATCATATTAGAGAAATATGCCTTATTTAACGAACTTCAACTTAAATTTTCCAGATGTAAATAGCCAAAGTAAACATAATTTTAGAATGGAAATGTTCAAGGGAGCAGTAGATTCAAAGTTTCTAATGGATCGCGGCAACACCAAGCCAGTAGAATAAATACTAACAACGCGTTCACATGAAATGGAAAACCCATACTTGCATAGTATCCAAGTAGCGGAGAAGCCCATCTTAGTCTACGTTCTTTCCAACTTCTCTAAATTTTTAGCTCATTATTTCTGATGGCGGAATAAATTTGCAAACCGAAACCTCAAACAACGAAAGAACTACTAAGTGAACCAAAATCAACCCCGTAAAATTGCAAGTGCTGCCACAGTTGACTTAAATTTCTTAGGACACTCGTCATAATTCTATATACTCGCAACTGCATTTTAACTTTTTTGAGCTCGAAGTATTTCTAAGTTACTTCATACCTTTCGGAAGGCTCATCTACACTCAACCAGCAATCCTCCGAATTACATTCAGTTGTGTAGCTAAATTCACATAATACAACACCATCGTACTTTAACATACAGCAATCACTTCAAACCAAATTGGGAAATGCATCAACATGGACTGATTTTCACTACCAACTTTCACTGCAACTCTCTCTGTTCTACAGCCTTAACCAAGCTTATTTAAATGTCACCAACCTTTTGTTGCCGACAACAAACTCATTGGACAGTACTTTCAGTATAAAATGTTCCTCCCAATTTGAATGAGTAAACATATTGTTAATGACTCCACCACTCCAAGTTTATGGCCTCTAAACCAATCACATATGCTTGTACTTCAATTTTTCCATGATATCATTCAATGTTTCCGCTAGCATATTGATTCTCGTTAGTCACTACTTATGCTGAATAGGAGAATTAGTTGATTGTGATGGTGCTTGATAAGTGAAACTTCTGTAAATTGCATTCATTCATCATAAAGCCACATCTCTGATTTTCTGAGAGGGCGTCCTACGTGCTGCTTATTGCTTTATCCACTTTTGTTAAGGAAGTAAATAGCGTGTAACATGTTATTAAAGTCATGGCTGATTCTATTAGGATGCAAAGGCAGTTGAATCACCGACAGTAGCCTTGAATTTAAAACCATGCAAAAGAACAACCAGAAATAGCATATGGTCTATATAACCAATATTCACTTGTAGTTCCCAGATTCAGAGTTCATCAGTTCATAAAACTCCTACAGTCAAGCTCCAATTGTCCAACCAACTACTTATTACATGTACATGATCAACAATTTTTGAAATAAAAGGCGCTCCCAGCAATGTCCTAGCTCCCTGAAGTTCAAAATTATTATACAGCAGCTCCTATTTCAAAAGCATCCCAATTTTTAAACGAACAATGAATCAGGTATGAAGCATTATTCCTCGTAAACTAAGCTACGATTTCCATGAATCTACTACAGTCCACTTTCATGTGCCTTGAAGTGAACGATGTTTATATAAATTATTTTTATCTTTTCCACCATTTAATTGATAAATTGTTTAATAGCTCAATTAATCAGCTAAATTTAATAATGCCAATAGCCACCTCACAGCTAAATTGCAGAGCACATCATTGCACTGATAGACGAAATATCGGCATTGTTGGATATAAAACGTACCAAGAAAGCCTCGACAGCCTCCAACTCTACCCACAGCATAAAAGCTGTCTGCGCCCTCTCCACCGTCTTCGGCCTCCCAGTTAAACATTTGTCCACTATCACATCACATACTTCTTTCCCACATCTGAACCCACAAACGAACGAAACAAAAATCAAATTTAACGTGTAAGAAGGAAATTGAATAGATGAAACCTGAACAAAATACCTCCCGGCATCAGCATCGGCAGCTTTTAAGTATGCAATGAGTGCATCCAGAGCCTTCTCTTGAACTGGCGAATTCGAATCCGCCAGCGTCTTCTTAAAAAATGGACCTAAAAATTTACCAAATTTAGAAAAAGACATAAAGAACCAGGATCTACCAACAGAAAGGTCACATTACATCAACTTTCACACTCAGATCAATGCTAATAATATCAAAACCCAAAAAAGATCTAAAGCTAAAAGTAAAACAAAATTCTCACCATATTCACGGAGGCGATGGTCCTTGGGATACGTGATGGAGTCGCAAACGGCGGCCAAATCAATGTTTGCATCATTCCGTACTTTCCAATTCTTGTGCATCAGCCGATCCTCCCATGGCAACTTCTTCGCCTCCTTCAACAATTTCTCATCCTCCGACATTTTTATTTACGGATAAATATAAATGCCTATCTCTGTATATATCTAACGCTTATGTATATATAATTGTGCGGAAATGCAGAAATGGAGATAGGAGCGGAAGAAGGGAGAAGCGTCGTCGTTTGAAGCGGATATTGTCTGGTTTTTTGAATTTTGCTGTTATAGTATATTCTCTCACTCCACTCTTGCCGGAAGCCGGCGAGGAACAAATGAGGGTTGAGTATAGTGGGGTCCATATATTATAGACGAGTAATGGTCCTTGAACTTATGTCTCTGTCATCGATAAGCATCAAATTTTGATAATTAAATTTATTCAAACGTTGGATCTTACTAACATAACATATCAATAACGAACCTTCAACAAAATTAGTAATGTGGCTTCTAGAATGCACATGTGGCTCCTCGTCACACTGTTAACAAATTGCCACGTCTCCAATTGTTCTCCAAAATTTGGAAAAAAGTCTTTGATTGCTCAGTGAATTTTGAGATTGTCGAATTTTAACCATTAAAAATTTAAAACATTTTCATTGCTCGCTAAATGTTGGAAACTTTTTTGGTTGCCCACTAAACTTTGAAAAAACGACTTTAATTGTACATTGAAGCTTGAGACGTTCGAATTTTCACCACTAAACTTATAAAAATGATGTCACCCTATTGTTCGTTGGAGTAAAAGTAATAAAGGGGACAAACGAGTCAGGACTGTCGATCTCACGAAAAATGATTACTCAATTACACAATAATTAAATTTAATTTTAAGATATTTTTGTAGAATTTTAAACTATTTTCATCATTTGAAAATTTTTAATTTATTGTTTATTTCGTTGTTAAAATTAAATTAAATTAAATAAAAATTTGAATTCTACAACAAAACACAAAATAAATATAATTAAAGGGATTGTGGGTTTCATTACAAAAAATAAATTCAAATTAAATTTATTGTCTATTTCGTTACAAATTGTTTCAAAATTCAAATTTTATTTTAATTTAATTTTAACAACGAAATGTACAATAAATTTGAATTTTTCAAACGACAAAATATTTGAAAATTTTACGAGAATATATTAAAAATAGATTTAACAATTGTCTAATTGAGCAATCATTTCTTATAGCGCATTAACCCGAACTCGTTTGTGCACTCCATTACTTTTATATGACCCATGTGACATTTTTAATAAACAACATGGCGAAGTCATTTTTATCAGTTTAATGGCCAAAATTCGATTTATCTCAAACTGTAATAAACAATCAAAGATGTTTTCCAAGTTGTAGTGAGCAATCGAAGGAATTATCAAAATTTGGTGAGTAATAAAAGAAGCTTTAAATTTTTAGTGGCTAAAATTTGACGATTTCAATGTTTAGTGAGCGATCGAATACGTTTTTCAAAGTTAGTGAGCAATCGAAGACTTGGCAATTGTGTGATGGGACCCCACATGATGTCACTATTCCGCTAAAGGTTCAGAATATTTCCAAGAGACTTTTTAAAACATTGGGTGCTCTCTATTTTAAATAGTAAACCCTAAAAATCAAGCTTTAAGTGACTCTTTAAATTAACATTTAAATTTAGATAGTGGAAACTCACTCTCTATAATTAAATAAATTTAAAATATTTCAATTTTCAATGTAGGAAAATAATAAAACAATTTAGAGAAAAGCTAGTTAAAATAAAAAAATAGAGAAAATAATAAATATTTTTTGCGAGTAGTAAAATTAAGTGCTATATAAAAAGAGTTTATTGAAGTACTTTAAAATTTTAATTCTCTAAAGTTATAAATAACCTCAAAATAATTGAATATATTAGACCTATTAGAGATACTCATGTAACGAATGTTATATCAATGAGTAACATCCAACGTTTGGATAAACTTAATGTCAAAACTCGATATCTTAAATTTCAATGAGTAGTCAAAAAATACACACATAAGATCAATGACCATTGGGACAATTAACTCATATTTGGGAAAAGTTCAAAGGAGGTGGTTACCTTACTTAAAGATTTATTTCATGTTAGACCTAATATTTATTGGACGTTTGAAAATTTTATAAATTGTTGATAAATGATCTAACTTTATTATTAATCATACACTCAACGGACTCACAAGTACTACTATTTGTTAACCGCTCATTTCAATACATTTAAAAATTTAAATGTCTATAAATTCTTCTAAAATGGAGAATAAGACTGGTGAATTTAGAACTTTGAATTTGCATTTCTATGTTATTCTTTTAACTTATTTGACAGTTTAACATCTCATTTAGCCCTTTTTCAATTTTAATAAAAACTGTAGTAAAAATAGATTTTTATTAAATTTTGATAAAAGTAAATAAAATATGTAATTAAAAAGTTATGAATTCCAAAAATTGTGTGATTGGAATAAATTTAACGAAAAGTAAATTTTAAGAAATGAGTGACAAACAGAGCTCCTTTACTTTAATTTAATATGTTTCTCATACTCATTTTCAACCACATATTCACACAATAAAATATTTTATACGTAAATTCAAATTTTTTTATTACTTTTTAACCAGACATTCTTCAAAAAATATTATTCAAAACTATATTTTAAAAATTTTAAAGATCTTAAACAAGTGCCTAGTTCAAACACACACATTCCTTCGGCAACCTAGAATTGACCGTAAGTTTTGGTCACAACTACAAACAAAATGATCAAATTGAAAAAAAAAATAAAAAAAAATGAAATTCACGCAATCAAATTATAAAAGTCAAAACTCAAGGGATCACATAATACAACCCCGAACGTTGAGTGCCTTTACTAAAAATCTGTATATATTACCTTCTCCCGTGTCTCCTTATCTCTCACGCACACACGCTCTAAAAACAGAGGAGAGAGAAAGTGAGAGACTTGCTAACTTTGAATTTTACGTTTCTGGAGAGAACAAGACCCATTTTATATTTTTATTGACCAGCGCATAAAAGCACCAATTGTTGTAGGTGTTGAATTTATGATATTTGTAATCATATTATGCTGAGAGGATTAATTAAGAGAGGCATTCCATACTTGCAGCCTCGTATCCAAATCGTTAAATGTATTTGATAATAAGAGATGATGATCTGACGGTTTGGGAGAGCGTACCTCAAAAGTGAATGTTGAGAATATGGCATGTGAAAGTGAATGAGTAAGGGTGCGATTAATTGCAAATATGAAATTTGCATGAGAAGAAAATAAATTCCAAACAACTATCTAGAACTTATTTGCATGAAAATTATTAATTAAATATATTTGATTGATTTAATTTTTAACCTAGAAAATATTAAATTTGTTAATTTTTTATTGGTAGGTATATGAGAGAGAATGGATAGATAAAAAAGAGAAAGAGTGAGTGGATTCCCTGAAAAATAAAATTCTAATCCCCCTAAAAAAATATTTTTCTTCATTTGAGGCATGTATGGTCAAGTGATCAAAAGTAGGAAAATATTTTCCATAGAAAAATGTCAATCAAATAACACAAAACTATAAACTTCATGAAAAAACACATTTTTGATGAAAAATATTGGGAATCAAACTCGTCCTATGTGTTTTCAAGATCTCAATTGATAATGAAGAGTTACAAGTTTTTTTTTTTTTTTTAAAAATTCAAATATAATGAAAATTCTATATCTTAATAGGATAATTAGCATATATCGTTCTTATTTTTCATTATTATCATGGAAAATGTCTTTACTTTTCATTTTTTAATACTTTCACCCTTATTTCCACATTTCATTGCGCAAAAGTCATTTTTCATTCATTTTCTTAACTAAAAGCTGTAAAATGACTAATATATTATTCTATTTAAATAAAAAGAAAAAGAAAAAGAAAGAATTAATTGCAATCATAGTCTCAATTTTTTTGACAATGTAAAAACGAATCTCAAATAAATTAGTAAGAGGGTAATTAGCGCATAATGCCCTTTCATTTCACTATTATTGTGAATAACATTCATACATTTCATTTTTATTGACATTTTCACTCTTAATTACATCTTCGATTGTGCAAACCATCAATTCTATTAATTTTCATCCAATTTCTCAATAAAAAGCTGTGAAGTGACGAATATACCCTTTTATTTAAATAAAAAATAAAAAACTAATTGCAATGATAGTCTCAAATTTCTTAAAAAGTAGAAACGAGTCCCAAATAAATTGTTAAAAAACAAGTAAATTAATAGAAAATTAAAAACAAGTTTCAAAAACAAGTGCATCTCAAATAAATTAATAGAAAATTAAAAATTTAATTTTCTTTAATTTTCTTTTTCTTTTAAATTTAAATAGGAAGGTATATATTCGTCATGTCACAGTTTTTATTGAGAATTTAGNAGAAAAGAGAAAATAAGTGAAGATTATAAATTTGCGAAATGTCAAAGAGTGACGCCAGAGAAATAGTGAAAATGGCAAAGAAAGCCAAAGAGCACTTGCATGAACGTGGTATAAACTAATATCTGAAAACAAAAACCCGCCTTCAACAATGTCATCAAGATTTAAGCATCCCGCCTTGTGCATCGCCTGAAGAGTTTGAGTAAGCGCCTCCGTTAAAGTAGGCTTCTTCTCTTTAAGTTTTTCCTGTATATATATATTTGTGTGTATTAGATAGCAAGACATTATTAAATTCACGACATAAGTACATTCATGCAGAAAGCAGTGCCCAGATAAATAGCAGAATTATGGGTTTCACAAAGCTTCAGGCTAGCATATGTAGGTGAGTTTCTAATATTTCTTCCTTTCAGGGCTGTCATCTTTCATCGAAAAGGGTCACAGTAGACGGAAAAGTGTATCCTTCATGATACTTGATTCGTAACAGAATCAAGGGTTGGATCATCAGCCAATGATCAATCGTGAATGTTTGATTCCACCATATTGTTGAGAGGTAGATGAAGCTTTTATACCACCAAAAAAAATCCAGTCCTCTCGTATATTATGCTAACAAATCAAATTGGCAAGATGTAAGTCAGAACCATGATTTTGTACAAATATCAACAAGAGCCATTTATGAAACTTGATCTCATTAAAAAATTTCAAAACCGCATGCATTACATAAACATAATCTACTACCAAATTTTCACTGAAACGTGTAATGTTAATTTACATTCCAGTCAATGTGATATAATGCAGTTAAAATTCTGCTATACCCTTCTTGGAAAAAAAAATTGAAACAGGCGAATATTTGCGAAACAATAAGCAACCCCATATATATCTATTCCTAGAATTATTATATCCGGAGTTTGTGGGATTCTCATATTTAGGTATTTTTCAAAGTAGTGATTGTTGTGTTATTGTAATATATTAAAATA